CAGTAAAAAAAAAGACTAGCCAAATAAAATATTATATGTATTAATTTATTATTTTTGTTCATACGAATCTTCGTAACATAAATATACATAGTAAGCGAAATGATATCAAAACGCGATCGTTTAGAAAAATATTATGACGTGTTATAAAATTTGATAAATAACCAACGAGATTGTTGAAGAAAAAAAATGATACGTCTTTTATGATAGTTCTTTTATAAATCTATACTGATATTAAATCAGTTGCAATAATAACACCCACGCAAAATTAAAACCCACCATTAAACTTGCTAAAAATGCGTACAAGTGTATACTACATATACATAGGTATATAAGTTAAAATTCGAGGAATAGATTTTATTGCGTTTTTTTTTTTTACTTTTGCGGTCATGTTTAAACCATCAGCACAGAATATTTTTCATTATAATATTATTATAGTATGATTATAAAGAACAATGCCCGGATTATTCAGTTTACGCATATCAACGAGATATATAATTATTCAGATTCGAATTTATTTTACAAACACAACGACGGGAAAATATTACGTATATTACTATGAATTATAATAATATTATTAATCGAGTCATATTATTGTATACGAATAATTGTTATTAAATGAGACGACAAATTATGTACATAATTAATATGTACAACTGTATGAAGACTATGAAGGTTCCATTAATTCATAAATCAACTGAAGGTGCTATTATTATTAATACATCTACTGTATTTAGTGTTTATTGATACTCTATCAAGAGAGAACTACAAGTATATAGTCTTTAATAGTTATACTTTATAAAGTATTAAATATCAATAACAAAAAATACACAGCAAATTTGAAAATCAAACTGATTTATTAGATTATATAAATATTTATATTAACGTAAATACCAATAAGAAATTTTTTTTAGAGAAAAAATATTAATTACTTGAAACTTGAATATTTTTAACAATAAAAATCTAATTTCAAATATTTTAAAATAATCTTACAATAAGGTTTAGATTCTCAGTTTCTTTTTTTTTTTTTTTTTGATGACAACTGACAATCTTTAATTTTAATATCATTGTTATATTACGCGAAATCCAAAATGATTAAAAAAATTTTTCTCTGAAAATGTAGTGTTAAAACAGGTGTTACTTATAAATGTAAAAATATAAAAAAATCGCAAAATTTATTGAATGAAATATAATTTTGATTCGGACTAAAAAAATTTTGGTGTCGCCTTAGGACGCAAAAATAAATTAACATCATCTTATCATATAAAAGATCATGTCAGCACCATAAAGTTTATATTTTATACTGTGGGTATAATATACGTATACTATATACATAATAACACAGGGGTTATTAAATCGGTATCCAGGATAATAATATGTCGTTGTAAAGTTCAAATATTTGTTTTTCGTTGGTTTTTATTCATTTTGTAATCTTTGTAATTAACTTAACAGTAATATATGAATTATTCAAAAAAATTAAATATATAATATTATATACACGGTATAATCCGTCATCATGTTGCAGTATTTCATACGTGGGAATCGATTAGTAGCTATTGAATAAACAATAAATATGTATGTTTAATGCATTCAATTACATAATATAGTAGAGAGTAAGTCAATTTTATTACTGCATTTTATAGCAAAAAACTAATTGAATTTCACAAGCACTTTTTTTCATGGCAAACGTATATAATACTCAGAATTTTCACCACTCATAACTTTTTATTCGATCAATATTTAAGAGCTATGATAGCCACTTTATACGTCATTATAGCATATTGTTTGTAAGCAAAAATATTTTTATATGTACTTTAAGTATTATCAAGTTACTTACACGTTTCGTAGATGCAACAGATTCAAACTATTATTGGCGAGTTCATCTTTTTTGTTTTTCTCAGTAATTTTAATCCACTTTAATAAATTTTTACAAACTTTCCCAAATATTTACACAATGTAATTGTTGCACATATTTTGTTCTACTTTACAAGTGTTTGAAAATTTTAAAACTTTTCCCAACTACTTCTGTAACATGAAATTTTGATCACTATGTTGGTATGTAATTATATTATAACAATGATCGGAAAATGATTGATTTTCTATTCATTATTTATTTAATATTTTAATTACTATCTTATGGAAATATTTTTAATAATTTTGAACAATAAAATATAATAATTAGTAATTAATTGAAAGTAAAATCAAAATTCAGAGTTTAAAATAACAAGGTTCTTGTGCATAAATAATATATGAGTTGTAAAATATTTTCTTATATGTAAATGAGTTTTAATTTATCAATGAGTGTTATTCACTATAGAAAAAGAAACTATAACTTTATGATAATACTTAATTTAATGGATTTTTTTCTATTTATTATTTTATTAGTAATACTATAGGTAAATAATATTCAATAATATACATAGATGTAGTTATATGCAGCATTTGGTTGAATATTATATTAGTGGTTAAATAAAATTAAATATATCAGATTTAAAATACTAAGTTGAAATAGTTTTGATTCATTATGCGACGTGACAATAGTAAACTACGACATGAAATGTAAAAAAAAAAAATTTTAATTTTTAATTTGAAAGTTTTGTTACATCATCACAGTTTTTTTAAATTTAAAAAACAATTAAGCATGATAATATTGGAGTCACAATAACTTAAAGTGTAACATATTTAATATATGTTAAGTTTAACTAAACAATGCATAACACGAAACTAATTGTTTTCTGAAAGTAACAACATCGCAAAGTATTCGAGTAAGCTTATTAATATTGTAAGCTTTCACGCTATGATTGTAATTTCACGCACCTACATATCCAATTATTACAAGATCTATATTAAAAATATTATTAATATGTTTTTAGTATTTCATTACAAATAAAATTTCTTTCATCTATAGTTTAATAAAAGCAAAGTTAAAATGAAATTGGAGTTCTACAATAAAACGATTTTTAGTTTAGACTACCCAATAGTCTTAATTGTAATCTTTACCAAAGCAACAATGTAATCCAATAGCTAGCATCAATATAACCCAATAATTTTAATAATAAAAGAATACAAGGATATATGTAATGCCTAACTATCAGATATACATAAAAAATTAATTAAAAAAAAAACAATTTGGTAAAATATAAAGACTATTTTTTATACTCTTATTACGAATTAACTAGAAATAATCAAATTTTTTACAGTTCCGAAAAAAAAATTATCCATGTATATTATAGGTACCTATAATTTTAAATGTTGAACTAATTAAGTAATAAAAACAAAATGGTTTAAATATTATTTTATAATTTATATGTTACAGGAAAATTCATACGCGACTTTGTATATTTAAGTACAACATTTGATCAATATCAGTTTATAAAATTATTAAATGCACATTTAACTCTTAAAAAAGCCAGATAACAAACGTTGGCAAACCTAAGACATTATAAAAAATAAAATAAGAAACATTAAAATCATATGAACCGTACTCTCATACACTTATCATCTCAATTAATAAAACACAGGTTTGTTAAAAAAATAAGAAAATAATCAAAGTTTAGAAAACAATGCTATACAATTGAAAATAAATATTTCTCCGATTAAGGCTAGTCTATTATACGTATACACATATAGACATATATTTATAGTTATAAAAATTACTGTGAAGTTGTCATTTATAAATAATTTTTGCAACATAGATAATACATAACATATAATGCAACAATTTTAATTTAAATAAGTTTGTATTACACATGTTACAGTAGTGTATTGATGGTAAGGCTATTCCAGCTAAAAGAAAACATATTAACTAGTTTTTTTTACAATAAATAGGATTTTTAGTTAACGTTACAACATTGGATTATAATTAAGTTTTTGAGTGAAATTTCCAATTTTTGTAATTTTTCACATGAGTGAAAGAAATAAACTATTTTGCGAGTTTATAAGAAAAAAAACTACACGGACACACATGCAATTGGTACGTGTTGTATCAATTACATGTTTATATAACTTTATAGGAGCTCTAATAACAATAGGAAAACAAATACTAGAAGGGTAGAGATATAAAGTATAAACATAAATATTAAATCGTAATAAGAAATTGAATTCTGCGGACGTGGTTAGGAGCAGTAAAAGAGTAGAGCTTACACATACCTACACACTCACACATTCATTCCCAAATACATATATCATAGAGTAGGTATATATTATGTGTGTGCGAATCAATCCGGTATTGCCCCTAAATACGAACACTTATACACACTTATAACAACAGCTGTGGTCCGAAACGCCATACATATAAATTATAATAAATATAAGTAAATACAAGTAAAATACAGTAAAATGAATCATCCCATGCTTTGCACCTAGCTTTTTAGGCCATATGATCTTACACCATGTGACTACTATTTTTGGAAATAAATTTAAGATACGGTTCATGCACTACCATATACTTATCGCACTTATCACCAATCACAGCGGAGCAAAAACGATTCGCGAAGACAATACATCGGATATGCATGGAATGAATAATTTAAGTTGTGAGTTTTCGATTAGACATTGTTCGTGTGACCAAAAGAAACCATATAGAATATTTATAGGTAACATTAATTGCATTTGAAATATTATTCTTTTATTTAATGTATCATAGGTATATTAAATTTAAGGCTAAAAACTAAAAAAAATATAATATTCTTTTGGAATAGGATGGATGATTTTGAATGGCCCTGTATTATAAGTATGCTTATGATAACGAGTTCGCCGCCCGCCGCCACAGACTCCGAGGACCCAGATCGCGGCGGCGGTTTGGGGCGGCGGCGGTAGGTTTTTCTCCGGAAATCGGAGCGGCAATCGATAATCGTGCGCGCGGAGCGAACGTCACCATTACGTGTGCACGTACAATTTATATATACGCGTGTATATTACATGACGCGCCGCGGGTTTTCGCCGCCCACGCCACCTCCGTCGTGCCGATTATTCGCGCGCACCCGCGTCACTCGCGCTCTCACCTGCGACGGTCGGTCTATACGGCGGTGACGACGATTTAGTGTCTGCTGTCGTGTATTATCTGCTAGTAGGTATTTCGACGATGGGCCTACAGTCTTCCTGTCCAGCTGCTGTCCGTCCCCGTTTACACCGCTTGGAGTCTGCAGGAGGGATCGGAGGAGTCGTACCGCGGTTGTATATAATACGACGTTTGTGTGACACGGCCTTATAATAGTTGTGCCGTGGTTATCGCGTAGACAGCGGTCGTTGCCGTTGTCGTGGTCGGAAATTGAACGAGTGGCGGCGACAGCGACGACGGTAACGACAACGTGCACATCACCACAGCCGGTCGATATTACCGCGTGCGGGTGACACGCGAAAAATACGATAAAAACGCGCCCGATGGAGTTATGTCTTACGTGTAATTAATCTGTAGGCTTTCTTCCTTAAGCAAGTCTGACTGAATTATAAACTTTCCCCAGCAAATGAAAAAAAATTATGATAATAACAACAACAAAATACGTATAAAACGTCGCTTTTGATTTGACCGTAAAAAAAAATAATTAAAAACAATTATTATACTAAATACTATATTATTATATCGCACCGTGGAAGCGACACTCGTCGGTGAAACGGTGACGGACGTGAGAACACAGCGTCAAACGACACACTACGGGTACGCGCACCGACTACTATAAACACAACATTGGGTGGACGAGCGGCGACGATGGTGGCGGTAGTTGTGCCCCAGCGCCGCGCCGCGGGTGTTGCTGGCGTTCCGCGCGGCGGCGGCAACTCACCCGGGCCCCCTTCAACCAGCCGCCGCCGGTCTATCGTTGGCAGCATCGCTGAGGTACGCGTATGCCACCGCCATCGTAGCTGCTTTAATATATATCGGCGGCGGCGGCACAGCTAATTCGATTATGTTCTGGTGGAGAGACGAACTTACACTCACTCATACACACACAAGCGTGCGCAAGCGCAATGGACCTATGCGTACTCTAGTATATACAATCTCTCTCACACGCACACACACGCACACATACACTAAGTAAAGGTTCAACGAGGGTGTGATCGTTTTACATCCCCTTCCGCACGCCGAAAAAATTTTCCGTACACACACACGATTATAGGTATAAATTTATAGTTATATGTGGTATACGTGTATAAACCAGAAAATATGCCTGCCCACCCTGCACACCAATATACTACCGTCGCGAGCAATACGCACACCGCTGCAACTCGAGCTAGGGTAAAATATACTCTCGGTGTTCGTTATAGCCTCTAAAAGGGTTAAGTTTAATTCGATAAGCTCCCTACACACACATACACTTCTCTCTCTCTCTCTCTCTCTCTCTCTCTCTATATATATATATATATATATATACAGTCGAGCGAGCGGAAAACGGTGTTTGGAGATGTGTGTGTGACATGTTGTTGCATTAACACCACTATCGCCGCCGCCACCGACACCACCAGGCTTGTCACATTGCTATCACCGTGTAAAAAGCATATTGCATGATATATACGTATATAATATGTATGATATATACATAGACCTTATACTCAGAGTATAAGGTCTATGGATATATAGATCGTTTTTTGAACGCTTGAAGTATAAAATGTAATAAAAAAATAGTAATGATATTTATATATTATACAATGACACGTATTTTCTATCGAAAGAATATGATACGAAATTTTAATAGTTTCCGTAATACGCGAGAATGTTGCAACAGGCCATCGTTGGGTTTTTAAAAACGTGCACGGAACACGACAGGGCGCAATGGGACGACGGAAAAGTAACGGAATTGTGTAACGACCCAGAAAAACTTTAAAACTACGACACAAACCGGAGGTCATCGTCGTCCGAAAAGGATGATTTCCGTTGAATCTCAGTCTAAAGTGTCCAAACCTTATTTTATCATATATTTTATTTGCCGACTATTCATAACGATTGTTGTATATTTATATTATCTTACCCGAAGTTTCCGCCAGCGTTTCCACACACACACACACACACACACACACACACACACACATATATTGATATATTTTATACGAAACGAAACTCGATAATAAGATACAGAGTGACGTGTAAATCCTTTTAACAGAGTATTTCAATCAATTCCAACAGCCATTTGCGTTTTATCCGATAGGCATTGTTCTTATACAATATGCATTTCCCTTTATATAGCCATAGTACATAGGTACTCATTGCATCATTAAAAACCTGTATTTGCTTGTCATTTTTTTTTTCTATTATTTGAATCATTTCCATAAACATAATGCTTTTAAAATAAAGAAATAATAATTGTTGTGCTAGTATAGTTTAATACTAACTGATATTAAATAATAAAAAAAAAACAAACAAATGATATAATTTCACCGAAAAGTTTGAGTTAACTGATATTTTAAATTGTACACGTAGGTGTAAATCAATTATTTAAATTAATTGAATCTTTTTAAAACTTTTTTGTATACAAGATAATATCGTTACATACACATTCGATTCTATTATCTTATTTATTAAATTCTTAAGTATTAAATCGTATAACTAATTCTTAGCAAAGAATACAATTTTAATAACGAAATCCCATGTACCTACATAAAAACTAATAATATATTTTTTTTCAAAATAATTCATTTCATTTCACAAAAATGTTATCAATGGTTTAAAATACATTGAGGACCATGATTCGTCATCATAGATTTTAATAGACAATTTTAATTTATAAAAAAGTATTATCGAAAAAAACCATAACTGTATATATGTAATACATTATAATATACAATAATAAATTGATCTTTGCTTAAAAATTAAAATTGATGTCCAAATGAAGACCTAATGATTTGTTATTAATCTCCAGTTATATATAATCAATAATCATATTTAATTTTATACATAGGCACTTTATTATAAATTAAAGAGTTCAAAATAATGACTTGTGTAGTTGCACATGTACTTCTACGAACATTTTATTGTAATAATTTTATATTCAAAATAATACATTGATTTAGATGTTCTAAAGTCAAAAAATTAATATTATTAATACATATTTTTACAATATGCTTTGAATCCTTCAGTTTTATTTTGATATACATATAGTCAAAGTAAGATTAACAATTAGGCACTTAAGCCAATGAAAAGTTACAATTATAAAGACCATAATTATTAAGAATTATGTCCGACTAAAACAAAATAAGCTATATTCACTATTCAGATATTGAGTATTAATCTTATCTATTCCACATTTCAGTATTAAAATGTTTATATTTTTTATATTTTTTTATATAAAGAATGTCTTGACAATTTGAGATCTTAAGTACTTAAGTGCTTAAGGCCTAAGAAAAGTTTGATCCTGACTTGTATGTATATTGTATACTGTTTTCTATATATTGATCAAATACGATAAAATCCTATTTTAAAGCTTAAATTATAGTCGCAAGGGACTGTATTGAGAACCAAAAGAAGACGAAAATCCTAATTGCCAGATCAGTCTTAACTGCACGGTAAGCCCTATTTTCAACTATATACACACACTTACATATATCTATTTAATACATCAACCATGCAGTGTATTAATAAAATGTCAGCAATATATTTACTATTTACTTGTATGTTTATATATAAATATATAAATATATATTAATCCTATTGTTCCCTCTTTTATTCTGTATAGTAATATATACAATAACAATTGATAAGATTCTAAAAAAAATAATATTTTTCATACGATAAAACTAAAAATTAAAAGTTTATACTTAACATGAAGGGTTCAAATTAATTAAATACCCTTTCTTAATTTGATAATCATAACTTTATTAATGAAATTTTCGAATAATTATAAATTTAAGTACTGATTTAATTATTATAAATTATAATTCCGACTAGATTTGTTTGTGTGACTAAGGGAAACCACATATAGAACATTTATTGGTACATACGTTTGAAATATTATTCCTTTATTTAATGTATCATATAATGTTACTCTAAACCTAAAAACTAAAAAGATAAAAGTATTTTAAATCGGATGAATTATTTAAAATATCCCTGTATAATACCTACTAAGAAATATAAATAAAAGTAATAAAAAAAAAAATATGGTTTGAGAATTAATGTAATTGTAATTCAAAATAAAAAAAAATACTGTTAAATAATAAAGTGTAATTCCTTGAAAACCTTAAAAGTATAACTCATGATTTCGTTTTATTTAGGTCATTGTAAATATCAAAGTAGCTTTATTATACGACAGAAAATAAAAGTTTTAAGATTATTATTATTTGTACATTACAAATTATGATATGGATATTTCTAATTAGCATAATTAAAATTAAAAGTACAGATATTAAATAACATACCTTGCAGAAATTTGATTATAGACCACTAAATTAAGTGTATCCAGTATGATTCACTAAATATACTCATTCCTGTTTTTCTTTTTATAATAAATTTAAATAAATTATGATTTTATAATTTTTAAATATACTTAGGCCCATATGCTTAATTATTTAAATTTTTCGCATCACATTAAAAAAGCTTCCTGCCTGTGGCAATACAAACTTATTTTAATAAATGAGAATTAACGTTTTTTATTGCAAATTTTTAAGTCAATTTTGATGTATGTATATCTATTAAAATTGAATGAGTAGTTTACTAAGGATAATAGTCATTAAAAATGGTTTCACAAAAATATAAAATTGATGTAATATTAGATGTAATATTTTATATAGTTTTTGAACAATATTTACAAATTATAAAATATTGATAAATTAATGTTAATTTAAGTTAATTATCAAAATATTTTTTATTTCAAATCTATTATGATGAACCATATATACTTAATATACACAGAGTTAAATATCTTAAAAAACTACAAAACTTTGATGTTAGATTTAGAAATCTATATGAAAATGTTCAAAAAAGTCAGCCACCTAAAAATTTACAATGAAAAAGGGTTAAGTAATTTAAAAATTTAAAAAATTTGAATTTGAAAAATTCATTGTTTAAGCAAAAAACGAGAGTAGACACGACGATTAGTTCATTATTCTATACCAATATAAAATCAATAATAAAATAAAGCATTTGAATAATGATTCTGGGATTAGTTTACAAGTATAAATTATCGAAATATAATTAAGAATTAGTGTTTACTAATATTTCTTTAAAGAAGTTTTGATTTGAAGACACCACGGAATATATAAAAAATTACATATAAGTATAAATTATAGATATAATTTATAATTTCATCAATAATATAGCTAAATTAAAGTCTTCTGAAAGTAGATTTTTTCTATAAATTTATTGTATTTAATGTCTAATAAAATAAAGAAGTTTCAAGATTATGACTTTTCTTTATAACATGTTTGCGTAAATATTAAGTCATTTTTTGATAATTTTTAACTGAAAGGCATAAAAAAAAAATCCAGTTATCTAAAATTTAAGTTATTGAATTTTCATAAAATAATATATATTACGCGTGTTATAGAAGTTTAAAGAGAAAGATAAATATTTGTTTGAACTTTGAGGTATATTATAAAATTATGTTATTTTACATTTATATATACTTTATAATATAATAAGATGAAAATATTTATTTTATTACGTTAGAATAATACTTAAAATATTAAATTTCTCATTAGCAAATATTCTCAAGTACAACATTTATTAAAAAAAAAATGTGAAATATTGGTGATGATTCGT